CAGCAGCAGCAGCAGCAGCAGCAGCCCCAACCCTCCCAGCACCATCAGCTTCAACATGCTTCCAGCCATATGCGCCCGTCCTCGAGAGGTGGTGCCGGCGCAAGCATGCTTGCCTCGGCAGGTGCCTCGGCCGCCGCCGCTGCTGCCGGCAAGCTCGGCCTGCACCGCACTTCCAAGCACCGCACAAACGCACGTCCCAACACCGCCGGTTCCATCGGCGCTACGCGCCCGTCCACCGCGACGCTCAGCTCGACGCTGTCGGCCGAAGACGATGCAAGCACCGCCAGCACCCTCCGCCGCGATGCCAACCAGCTCAAGCGGCCCACCACCGCCAATGCCGGCGTCGCTTCGGGTCTGCCCCAGCGCAACCACTTCATCCGCGTCTACAAGACCGATGGCACCTTTGCCACCCTCTCCTGCTCGCTCGTCTCCACCGCCAACGAGGTCCAGACCATCCTGGCCCGCAAGAGCCTCACCACCGAGTCCGCCGCCTATCGCCTCTTTGTGCGCGACAAGGGCTCCGAGAGGCCGCTCGGCAACGCCGACAAGCCCGCTCAGCTCCAGCGACGTCGTCTGCTCCAGGCAGGCCATTCCGAAAACGATGCACTCGAGGACATGGGCAGGGACGACCTCTCCTACCTCCTCCGCTTCGTCTTCCGCCCGGACAGCGTGCCGACGTTCGACTCGGAATCCATCGGCCACAGCGAGCATACTTTCCAACACCTGGATCTGCAGAGCAGAAACCTCGAGATGGTACCCATCTTCCTCTACAAGCATGCCGACTGGATCGTCAGTCTCGACCTCTCGGGCAACCCCATGTCCGACTTGCCGCTCGACTTTGTTCAGCTCTGCTCGAGCTTGCGCACGCTTCGGCTCTCCAACCTCGCCCTCAAGCGCATCCCGCAGAGCGTCAGGCACAGCGAGACCCTCACCCATCTCGACGTGTCCAACAACCGCATCGTCGAGCTCTCGCACATCAGCCTCGACCTCATCCCCGAGCTCATGTCGCTCAAGGTGCAGAACAACCGCCTGTACGACCTGCCGTCCTACTTTGCCAGCATCGCCACCCTCCGCAACCTCAACATCTCCAACAATCGCTTCGAGGAGTTCCCCAGTGTCATCTGCGAGGTCACCTCGCTCGTGGATCTCGACGTCTCCTTCAACTCGATCACCGAGCTGCCGGCAGAGGTTGCCAACCTCGTCAATCTGGAACGCTTCATCCTCGCGGGCAACTCGCTCGAGAAGCTCCCGGACGGCATGAGCAAGCTCGCGAGCCTGCGCACCATCGATCTGCGTCGCAACAAAGTGCAGGACGTCTCGGCGTTGCTCGGCTTGCCGCGACTCCAGAACCTCCAGGCCGAGAGCAACAACATCAAGTCGTTTGAAGCAACGCTCGGACCGCAGCTCACCCGCGTCGAGCTGGGCCGCAATCCGCTCAGCAAGGTGCGCATCGCCGCCCTCACCACGTGCGATCTCACCTCGCTCGACCTCTCGTCGACCAACATGACGCGCCTCGAGGAAGGGCTCTTCCCGCAGCTGCCTGCGCTCGTCAAGCTCATCCTCGATGGCAATCAGCTCGTCGTGCTGCCCGACACGCTCGGAGAGCTCAAACGCCTCGAGACGCTCTCGTGCAGCAACAACCTGCTCGCCACGATCCCCGAGTCGATCGGCCATCTCAAGGCCCTCAAGGAGCTCTTGATGCACAACAACAACCTCAAGACCTTGCCGCAGGCATTGTGGTACTGCGAGAGCCTCACTCACATCAACCTCAGCTCCAACCTCCTGGAGTCCTTCGCCGCTGCTCCCGACATGCGCACCGAGGCGGTCCCGGCTGAG